TTGAAGTATGAGCAAACTGAGCTATTCCTTTGACCCTGATTTGGGATTTAAATACTGGCATGCAACTAAAATGTTGCATTACAGATTTTTGAATGCAGGACTTTGCTCATAAAAAGGAATTAACAATAATCCATTGATACGAAAATTTTCTTATTATGCTGGTATTGTATATAAAAAGTATTAAATTATTTTTCTATTAAATATTTTTGCTGCCTTTGATAACCTCATGATGAGTCACATCTAATTTTCAGGGAGGTACAAAGAGAAGAGCAGTTACACAATCACATTCCAGTAGACTTCAAGTACATCACAGAGCCCAGAACTCTCAACCTAAAATAACAGATGACACCGAGCAATTGCAGTTGCAATTCAGTTTACGTAGGCAGGATTCTTAAAATATACATTCTATTTAAATAGGACAGGAAGCTTTTTCAAGGTGTTTGATGCTGTAACTCCCAAACCCTGCCATCTACATGGGAGGATATAGAAAAGGCAGGGTTCTCCAAATAAATCAAGTATAGTAGACTCCTGTAAGGCCCCACTTCTGCAATCCATACAAGTCTGTAACTCCCTGTGATAGGGTGTATTTGCACCATCAGCCCTTGAGAGGGTAAATTAGGCCAGGCAAGCCTAACAGACCAATTAAGTGTCCAGTAGGGGAGAGATATAGGCTACAAGGAGGCCACTAATTAGAGGCAGTCACAGCTGAGCAGGAACAGGAGGAGCCTTTAAAAAGCCCGGGAGCTGCAAGTAGCAAGGAGACCGTAGTCGCCCTCTTAGAGGAGGGAGAATGTGTTGGCAAACCCCAAGAGGGAGGGGAGCCAGTTATGTAGGAAGAAGCCCAGGGAAACCGCAGCAAGGGCTAGGACAGTACAGGCCTTGGCTGCATGTTATAGGGTCCCTGGGCCAGAACCCAGGGCAGAGGGTGGGCCTTGGTTCCCCTGACACAGGGAGTTGGAGATGTCAGTTGGACAGCTGATCCGGAAGGGCTATGACTTTACCGGAAGGGGAGGAACTTTAGTGACCTGGCTGGAGGGCCAAGCCACAAACAGGAAGCTGCCACCACAAGAGGGAGAGACAGGCTGCAGAGAAGAAGGTGGATAGAGATTGCTGAGGAGGGTGAAGCACTTGGCAGAGCTGACCCCCAGGATGCCAAGGGAGAGGCACGGTGAGCGGTGAAGGAACCCCGTTACACTTCTTCTGAAGCTAATGGGAGTTTTGCATGAATATTGGCTGCAGCATTAGGCCTTTAACTGGAAAGCCTTAAGACTATTGTCCCAATGGAGAACAAAATCTAGAAACACTTAAAATTAAATAAAATATTACAGATTTTAAAATAATGAAGTAATTTAGCATTTATCTCTATTTTATACTTCTGTATTAAATGACCTGGATTTAGAATGCCACACCATGTTAAACACCATTTAACCACTTGGCACAGGCTAAATTCATCTCCATTAAGTGGAATTTATACTAACAATGTCCTGATTAAGCAGCCCTTTACTATCCCCCATAATTTAGCTGAAAACATCGCTAGAAAGCATGTGTCCTGACCAAGTGCGGTATACAGAGATTTTCTCCTGTCTAGACAAGGATATACAATTGGAAAACTAGACTTTCCATAGGACATCATTTTAAATGAGTACTGGCCACTAACTGGTTCCTTTTTATCTATACAAGAACAGAATGATGATGGAAAGAAAGGAAGACTGCCAAGCTTTTTATATACACTGCACTTTGTTACCACTAGTCCATCTAATACAGCCCTTACTTTTTCCTCTCTACAAACATAACAATATGGAAAATGCAGGGAAAAAAGCAAGATGACAAACTGCTTTTGTAAAAAGCCCATTAATTAAGAGAAAAATCTCTGGACTGGAACATTTGCTAGAGAGGCTTAAACTACGAGGAAGAGCAGTGTTCTTCATGTACCTCAATGTTGAACTCAAAGAACAATTAAGCAATGATTGTGATGGGCTTTGGCAGCAAGCTGACAAACTCTTCCTTGCATAGGAAGATGGTACTGCCGACGGGAGGGATTGAAAAGAAAATAGGGGAAATCCTTAAAGGTGGTTTTGCAAGATGCAGAAGGATGAAAACATAAAACCAGAATATAATATGTTAATCATAATGGGCCTGTTCCTGGCCCCACAGAAGATCTTGATTAAACACCCATGCACTTCAGTAGGATCAGGATTGGGACCAAGTTATGATTTTATGTTTAATGGAAAAAGTAATGCCTATGTACTGGTCAATTCTGATAGCAACTCTGTGACCCACCTTACTGAGTTTTCTGTGACTTGTTCAGTGCCACATGCTTCTGGGCCGAGGCAGGAGGACTGGCTCCCTACACCTATGGCTCTCCCAGGGTAACTCGAGATCCAGGTAGAGCTCAGAATTCCTGTGTCATCCCTCCTAGGAAATCACCCTTCAGCCTCATTCATGCGTGTTTTTTTTTCACAGCATGGTAAGATAAGCAGCACTGTCTCATACAGAATTTCCCATAGGTAATGCTCTGAGTACATGCAGAGGGGTTTCTGCAGGAGCAACAGCAAGCTTGTTGCCTTTTCTTCCTTTATGCCCTGTAGTGCATTCAGGCAGGTTTTGCAAACCCGTTTATGAAGCAGAGGAGATTATATAACACCAATTTTCATTTTACATAGTATCCATCCTCCTGGAAGGTCCCAACGCACCTTCTAGACTGTTGACAGTCTGTTCTGTATGAAAAACTTATCTTGGCTTTGGTGGGAGTTATGTACAAATATCTGGGGAGAGAATTTTACCCTGTATACAAAGGGGTTACTCATCCATCACTTAAACGCTGCCAATGATGGGGACTGAAAGTCAGCTCCTGCAACACTGCACGGCTTCTTGGAAAGGAAATGAAGAACAATTTCTCCACCGTAAACTTCAGGGGGAATACAGAATGGCAACATATAATTACACAAACTGAGCCTGGGTCAGAATACAACTAGCAAAAATAAAATGTGTGGGATCTTTTTTGGATCGCCTCCTATTGACATTAGTGGAAGTTGGAGAGAGCAGAGCACTTACCAGGACTGAGCCCTTTATTATGGATGGCCACAAGCATTATTTGTTCTGTACTGACTCAGCAAAAAGTATGCTATCCACTGAACCACTAACACTTCCTGCACTTTTCCATGTAAGTCTCCTGTCCAGGTCTGGACCAGGCCCAATTCTGCTTCCCTAATGTAATCAGATTACAGCTGAAGATGATACAGAACTCATTGCTCAGTCTTGCACCAGGCAAAATTAATTTCTTCTTTGGTCAGGGACAAAGACATAATGAAAGGTAGTTTTTAATATTTGTAAATTGTTTAGAGAAACCTGGTTTTATAGGAAATTTTGTATAGTATACCTTCATGGCTACTATTATAACTGTAACTTCCCCCCCCCTCAAAAATTCTGTTGCAGTTTCCCCTTTTCATCTTTGTAAATGCTACAGAAACTCAACTGATATTTCTACAAAGATGCTGGTTTTTTTATATATTTAAATTTGCTATTGTTTAGATCAAAATCCTGCTAGTACGTTTGGTAATAAGTTTCCATTTTAAAGTTTGTTTTCATTAATATAAGAAGTTTGGCTGACTTGACTACACACATGGACTCCTGATTAAAAAGACTGAGTTTCTTAATGAATCACTTTTTGATATTTTTAAAAATGCTGCACCTTTCATAATTGTCCTTACTGCATTTTCAATTGTTTAGAATAAATCACAAGTACTACAATAAATTGACTAAATGATTTACCTCCCCTAAAACACTGCATGGCTGATTAATATGAAATCATATATTAGTTGCAAATAACAGTTAATTGTGTAGGTTTCACATTTATCCAGGATGAATACAAACAGGCTTTTTAAAAGAAGGGTACTGATTCAAAACATTTATGCTGCCCCAACTAGAATTTCTGAGTTTTTAATTGACTGCTATGGCCTTTGGAGGCCAGAGTTAGAAGTTGTGGCCAGAGCCCAGGCAGTTTTAGGGGCCTGATCATCACAGTTGTTGAGTCTAACTGAGTCAATAGGCCCTTCAGGGGTTCAGCACCTAAAAATAAGTCCTTTAAGGACAATATTATATATACCAGTTAGTGGGGGGCAGCAGTACTGAGACGAGAACCAGCTTTTGCAATTCTGTATTCCCTTGTCAGTGAACTAAACAAGCTGCTCTGTTAAACTGGAAGAGTCTGCAGGAATCAAACAACTAAATGCTGCATTCGGAAATCTGATTAGAGAAGTGTATTTGTATTTGAATTATGTCAATTACACGACATGCTGCCAAAGGAACGCCAGACGGCTCAGTGTGAACCCCGAGTTTAGCGTCAACCGATCTGTCCTGAAGCAACACAGAGATCAGCCATCTAGACACAGCCAAATTCTGTCCTCAGTTCAAGTCGCTAGGGTTGGGTGCACACGCTTGCAGATGACGGCAGTATCTCATCCCCACGCGTGGTGCACAGTTACAGACACTACCATACAGTATCTAGGTAGTGTGGGAAGGCCCCCAGGTCATCACACATGGGATGGAGGATTTAATTTTAAAACGCTCTCTCTGTTTTCTAATCTACGTCCCGCTCTCAGTCGAATCGGAGTGTAAACTCCTCGCAGAGCCTACTCGTCCTTCCTTTCGGACTCCCTACAGGCAGCAGTGTACGCCAGACTTTGCACCGGGAACAAATGGAAATCTGTCCTTGAGTAGGATAAATACAACGCCAGCGGAGCAAACGCTGCACTCCCGAAATCGCGCCCTCCTCCCAACCTCATGCTTATTTACATGAACGTGAGCAAAACAATTAGCCTATACCTATCCACATGTGCCAGGCCAGCGGTTATGGGGAGGGGGCTGTTTCTGGAACTATGTTAAGCCTCCATCTAAACCGAATGGTACGTTGGGTGAAGGGGGCTGGGGACAGATCCCCTAAACTTCCGGTTCTGCAACTTATGATGATGATACTGACCAAGCTGGAAGAAATGACTTACAGCGCTTTGGAGCCCGGCAGTGCCCCCTCTGTCTGTTTCCAGCTCCCCACCAGGGCCTCCGCCGCAGCCTCCAGTTCCCCTCCCACGAGCAGCAGAAGATCCTGGGCACCTCAGCGAGAGGCAGCAGCCCCCACTGACACTTGCACCGGTGGGGCCATTTTGAACATACGATGCCGCGCTGAGTGAAATCAGATGCAAGGACAGCACAGGGCTCTGGTGATCCCTTAGCCATGGCCACCCACCAAGAGCAACACAAGTCCTCCAATTCTTGGCGCGGGGTGTGTGTGGTGGGGGGGGTTATTCCCTAGTCACTTTCTGCACGCTTTTTGCTTGTTATTCCAAATACCCATCAAACACATCCAGCTCGCTGTCCGTGTCATAGAGCACCGAGCCAGGGTCTGACAGCACCCCCAAATCCACCAGAGCCTGGTCCATGTCTTCAGGCAGGAATACGATCCCTACATTGAGGACGATATACTCCATCAGGAAGGCATAGTAGAGAATCAGCACATTGACAAAGAACAAGCCCACGTAAAACATATAGGGCAGCACCAGAAGCGCATGGAAGGCCCAAGATTCCAGCGAATCCAGATGTGCGGAAACTGCGGCGGGCATACAGCTGTGCTCAGTAGAACTGCCGCGGCTCTCCAGAGGCCGGGGCCGGCTGCTGGCCTGCAGAGGTGCAGAAACAGCTAGCGCGGGTGCCCAGCTGTGCAGAACCAGCAGCAGAGGGTGGCCGCGCAAATTAGCGGAAGGCGCTGCGTGGCGGCGGGCGCTCAGCTGTACAGGGGGCCAGTACACAACGCAGCTTCAGACAGAGGGTAAAATAAGAAACCCAGAATGAGTGCTAATAATTCCAGACCGAGAGGGGAGGAGGGGGTCCTTCCACGGTCCGCAAGGGGAGCAGGAATGGCAAATCCCCGAAGAGATCCGCTTGATCCACTCCCCCTAATTCCAGTGCAAGAACGTGGCCAGATTTGGCTTCAGAGGCACTGCCGCAGCCCAGCCTTTGGAGGAAGCTTCTTCAGAGGCATTTCCCCCGGGCTGCTGCAGTCCTGCCGCTTGCTCTCTCGTCCTCCCGGCTGCAAACTTTGGGAAATAAAGGCGCAGGCTCGCTCTTGTTGTTGTTAGCACTTGCCTGTAGTCAGCGAGTCCACCAGCCGCCAGCCTCCTCAGCAGGAATCCCCCGTCCCTTACCCCTCCTCCTCCTTCCCCCCACCTCCTGTCTCCGCTGCATGCTGCGTCTCAGCTGTTTATGGCACTGTGGGTCCCCCGGCATCACTTTCAGCACTGCTGCCGCCAACGCAAACCGCCCACCCAAGTCCGCCTCCCTCTCTTGCTGATTGGCTTGAAGGAGTCACTGATTGACAGCAGGAGGTTTGTTTGTTGACAGTCGTATCCCCTTTCACCTGGGGGTGAGTACTGATTGCGGTCTCACTGACTTTCTGACCCGGCTGCTTCATTAGTAAAGGCTCAGCAACAATATTTATTTGTTTAGATGTTGCTTCCTTGTTTGGAACAGCCAAAGATTACACCTTGGTTCCCTTTCCAGCAACTTTACTATAACGTTGTCCTTAAGAACATATATACATTTGGTTCTTGAGGCCATTCTGTGCTCCTAGTTATCACAAGCACTTCTTCTCTAGTACTAGCCAATAGGATGAGATGGGGCTTGGGGAGAAAGAGAGATTAGAAATTGTTAGGAGCTTTTATATTATATTGCTAGTTTATAGTGGGTTATTCCAATTCCTTTTACTTTATCTGATCACCTTCTGGCATCGGAATCTGAGAGTCTTTCAAATGCTATGTGATTATCAGAACTGTTGGTTCCCCTGATGTCAAAGGCGTTAATAATAAAATAATGTGGTGCACTTTTATAGCACATTTCACTGTGAGGTAGGTAAAGAATATTTAGGAATTAAATACCCATGACTAAAGCAGCCACTCTGGGAAGGAATTTAGCTTCTGTTTAACAGTACACAACAATGCACAACAGCTTAGGGCTGAAACAACTGGGTAAGTAAAATGTAATTACTTGAGTTGGAATTTGGCTAGTAAACCAGGGCCCATACACTTGTGAAAAGTGCTATGGTATCTTATTACCGGTAGTGGTCAATAATTCTATTTTAACATTATGTCTGATAATGGCACCTATAACAGCAGAGGGCCCTTAACATTATTCTGGGCATTTATGTAATACTGACCAAGTCCTTGTCTATATTCAAAACATAATTAAGGATGTGATTTTAGTGAAACCGATGCCAGCTCCTATGTGGAAACTCTTAGCTTAATTTAAACCTAGTTATTTTGATTTATCTCAGATCAGTTCCTTATTGAGCTACATCAATATAAAACAGGTTTGAACTGAATTAAGAGTGTCCACTCTGTTTTTTGATAGCATTCTCAGAAAAGAGCAAGCCGGTTTTCAGAAAGGGTGTGGATGCACAGACCAAGTCTTCACTGTACAAAACATAACAGAACAGTGTTTAGAATGGCAACAGCCACTCTACATAAATTTCATAGACTTTTCATAGACTTTGAGAAGGCTTTTGATCGCATTCACGGGACCATCCTATGGCACATTCTGCGGCCATATGGAATTCCTTTCTGTATAATCAACATCATCAAAAGCTTCTATTTCAACGTTATATGCAGTGCTGATCACAGTGAGCTCAGTTTTGAAGTCAAAACAGGAGTCTGTCAGGGGTGTGTCATGTCTGCAATCCTCTTCAACATTGCCACCGACTGGGTAATGTGGCGTACAACAGAAGACATGCCAAGAGGCATTAAATGGACACTCTTCTCATCCCTTGAAGACCTGGACTTTGCAGATGATATCGCTCTCCTATCACATACCCAACACCATATACAAGAAAAAACAACTTGACTCAATGCGTTCAGGCAGCAAATTGGACTGAAAATCAACCACAATAAGACAGATATCATGACCTTTAATATTGCCTCACCATCACCAGTACGGATAGAGGATTATGTTCTCACCAATGTAGAAACATTCACATACTTGGGCAGTACCATCAGCCAGGATGGTGGAACAAGCCAGGACATCCGAAACCAAATCAGTAATGCCAGGAACACCTTCAGGAGCTTAAATACAGTCTGGAAGTCATCAAAATACAACACCAAAACCAAACTCAAGATTTATCAGAGCTGCGTACTTTCAACACTACTTTATAGTGCAGAATGCTGGGGAATGAGAAAATATGATATGTCCAAACTGTCTTCATTCCATACAACCTGCCTCAGAAAAAGTCTCCGTATCTTTTGGCCCAGAACAATCTCAAACCAAGATCTATTGACACAGTGCAGCCAAGAGGATCCAAGCACCATCATTGCCAGGAGGCGTTGGAGATAGATCGGTCATGTGCTTTGGATGGAAACTGATTCCATCACCAGAGTAGCAATAAGATGGACACCTGAAGGCAAGCAAAAACAAGGCCGCCCAAAAACAACATGGCGAAGATCTGTGGAAGCCAAGTTGAAAAACCTGGGGCACAGCTGGGGAACCATTGAAAGATTTGCCAGAAACAGAAAGGAGTGGAGGAGCTTTGTCACTGCCCTAAACGCCAGAGGTGTAATAGGAACATGATGATGATGATGACTCTGTTTTTTGTTTAATTTTAAATTGGTGTAACTTTGAGTATGGACAAGGCCTCATCAGGAAACAATTACCAACCCCATTTCTTTGAAGCATCTACTTCTTCCCCCACCCTTTAACTGACTCAGCCCAACACAGCTTCATTTGAAAGGCTAACACACTGAAGTGTAATGGCTACAGGTCAGACTGTCAGATCGGACCTTGGTACATAAGGAAGCTGCATGAATGAAAGATTACAATGTTGTTCCTTAGAAAGAACTTTCTGTTAAAAATGTTTTGTTTTGTAATAAATCAAAATAAATGGCAAGGGCAAATCATGCCTCACCAACCTGATTGCCTTCAATGATGAGATAACTGGCTCTGTGGATATGGGGAAAGCAGTGGATGTGATATATCTTGACTTTAACAAAGCTTTTGATACAGTCTCCCACAGTATTCTTACCAGCAAGTTAAAAAAGTATGGATTGGATGAATGGACTATAAGGTGGATAGAAAGCTACTACAGGCTGGGGACCAATTGGCTAAGTGGCAGTTCTGCAGAAAAGGACCTGGGGATTACCCAGTGGACTAGAAGCTGGATATGAGTCAACAGTGTGCCCTTGTTGCCAAGAAGGCTAACAGTATATTGGGCTGCATTAGTAGGAGTGTTGCCAGCAGATCGAGGGAAGTGATTATTCCCCTCTATTCAGCATTGGTGAGGCCACATCTGCAGTATTGCGTCCAGTCTTTGGCCCCCCACTACAGAAAGGATGTGGACAAATTGGAGAGAGTCCAGCAGAGGGCAACTAAAATGATTAGGGGGCTGGGGCACATGACTTATGAGGAGAGTCTGAGAGAACTGGTTTTATTTAGTCTGCAGAAGAGAAGAGTGAGGGGGGATTTGATAGCAGCCTTCAACTATCTGAAAGGGGGTTCCAAGGAGTTTGGAGCTAGGCTGTTCTCAGTGGTGGCAGATGACAGAACAAGGAGCAATGGTCTCAAGTTGCAGTGGAGGAGGCCTAAGTATAAGGATATTAAGAAAAACTATTTCACTAGGAGGGTGGTGAAGCACTGGAATTGGTTACCTAGGGAGGTGGTGGAATCTCCATCCTTAGAGGTTTTTAAGGCTTGGCTTGACAAAGTCCTGGCTAGGATGATTTAGTTGGGGTTGGTCCTGCTTTGAGCAGGGGGTTGGACTAGATGATCTCCTGGGGTCTCTTCCAACCCTAATATTCTATGATTCTATGAAATCTTTTTTACAGATTTTCCCCATTGAATGGAATGTCTGTGGATGGTATAGCTAGATCTAAGCTCAGGCAACAAATAGCTACTAAAATGAGGGAGGGGAAATGAGAGCGAAAGAGACATTCAAAACATCATTTTCTCTGCAGGATCTTGCTGGGTGTATTCCAAATCTTCAATTTATTTTGACCCTAAAATGAGAGGGCACTAAAGTGAACAATAGCAAGTCAGACATGGGTTATGATCATTTAGGCTCCTATCCTGCAAGCACTTAAGTATGTGTTTAACTTTATGCACATTTAGTCCCACTGAAACATGTGTGTAAAGTAAAGCTCATGTGTACATTTTCAGGACTTTGTTTTCCTTTAAAAGAAGAGAAACACTCCCAAAATAGAATACTGAGAGGAAACTAGGCTTATATGGAGAATTATACCTTCTCTTTGAAAACTGGAAGCGTAGACAGGAAAGAACAGGGGAAATACTTGACTTCATAAAGGGATATTTCTGATGAATTCTGGAGAGAATTGTTTTCATTTTATAGAATTACTACTTGTGTCACATCCACCACAGAGTAAACATAAGAAACTAAGACCCCATATGTACTCAGTTAGCTGGTCCCTTTCTCATTTTTCCATTTGGAATACCATGGGAGGACACAGTTCAAAGTTATGGAGAGGCAGTGTAGCCTACGGAATAGTGCATTAGACAGGGATTCATGAGACCTGGATTATATTCCTGGCTCTGCTATTAGCCTGCTAAGGGTCCTTGGACAAGTCACTTCACCTCTCTGTGCTTCATTCGCCCCATCTGTAAAATAAGGATAATGATAGTACAATCCTTTGTAAAGTGCTTTGAGATCACTGATGTAAAGTCGTATATAACTGACAGGTTTTATTTCTCGTACAGTAGCAGGGGTTAGATTGTTTATATTAGCGGTTGTGGATTTAGACTCAGCTGAGGCCTTTTGGATTTTCTTTTGTCATGGTGTGCACTCCCTGGCAAAGCAGTGGATGAAGCAGTATAGATGAAAACCATGCTTGCTTTCTCCCCATAGCTTGGGACAAAGCCAGCCCTCTTTCCCAAACCTGTGCCCCCTACAAACGGTGTCTCCCCAAACGTGAGCCCTCCTGCCATTTCTGCTAACCCATGCTGGAGGGGCCTCACCTCACCAAACCCACTCTACTCCTCATCTCTCCCCCTGCACCCTTCACTCCCTCCAGTGGTGCAAGTAGAAATCATTTCTTGCCAGTACTGCAATCATGGAAGGGATACAAGGGGGGAGGGCACGTGACCTCCCCACATGACCCTTCATGTGACTCTTCCCCGCCCCGAGCCCCTCCTACAACCCTCTTTGTATATACAAACATCAACATGCTTAACTACTCAC